TAACATATAAAATCATCCATATAAAATTTGTTTAAAGTTTTATGTAATTTCTGATGATAAATTATATAAGCTAAATATATAATATTACAAATATTTACTTCCGAAGATTTTTTTGAAGCATTAAGCATGATTTAAGTAATTCTCACAATTCTAAGAAAGTTTTAGATAGCCTCAACAAACTGATTGGAAATATCAAAAAAAGGTTTGCATCACACAGTAAAAAAATCGCGACTATGAGAGATCAAATCCACTATGTTTTTATTAGATCGGATCCTTATAGACCAATATTCCCTTTGTAAAGCATAAGAAATATCTAGGGAAAGCATTGCCAAAAAATGTAATCAACTTTTTAGTATCTTAAAATGTAGAAAAACATTTTTTTTTTTTTTTTGCTTAATAAAAAGTTTTACCCGTAGTAGCATGCGCGTTTGATGCACATAAGAAAACGTTCGCAAGTGCCTTTATTCAGAGCAGAACAGCCGTGGTACAGTGGTAGCGCATTTGCATCAGAAATAAAAAATCCTTGGTTCAAACCCTACCTCTGGGCAAAAAAAAATTTCAGTTTTATATTGGAATTCCTTGGCCCAAAAATCCCTTGTTTTAATGTTAAATACTTTTTTAAACTACACTTGTTTAATAGTTTGGCTTTTTTTTTTTCTTTTTAATTTAATCCGCCTCACTTTGCGGTGCTCTACCTCACTTCTGACGCTATTTTATATATAAGGAGCCCATTTGCAATAAGCGCCAAGTCCGAGTAAACTGATTTTAAGAAAACAACGAAAAACTAAACTACTCTTAGTTGCGCATCAACAGAAATTAACATTTTCTTTGTCCGTTTTTAGGACAAAAAAAATTGCTATTGGTTTTATATTTTAAATAAAACTGGTCAAAGCCAGTACAACTCCCATCACTAGTCTATATGAACCTGAAGGATTTTCAAGCACAGGACCTGGTAAAACAGAGCAACTAGACTATATAATGTTTGCAGAGTTTAAAGCTGTAAAAGCGTTGCAATTCTAGAAAACAAAGTCCTGACCTTAGACGCAGAAAACTAAACCTAACACAAATCTCTTAGCGAACTAAAAAAACCTCAACCGGTATCATTCTCATCACTCTTCAACAACAAATCTAATGAAAAATAAATGATCAGAATCTATTTTTAAATAAAGTAGCACATGAGCAGAAACAAAGACAGCAAAAAGAATCAAGTGTAATTGTGGTGGGACTGGAGGTCTCAGACAAATATGACGAAAATAAACAGGCAGCCGAAAATTTTTTTAAAGCTGTTGGTATCGACAAATCAGTTATTGTGAGAGTCAAAGGTTTTAATCATAAAAAACTCGACACGGAAATCAGAAAAATCAAGCTCATGCAGGTCACAGTCAAAGACCCTGAATCGCATGCCATAGTCTTGCCAGGCACCACAGTCTCGTCACAACTTAGTATAAGGATGTGTTTTCTAGAGAAGACCGAACGGAGGCGGAAAAGCACGAATTCAACAAACTGAATTGCGAAAAAAAAGAACGAAACAATGAACTCGAAAATTTAAAGCTGCTCGACTCGCCATTTCGTTTCGTTATCCATCGACGCCTTAACTGTGTTAAACCAGTTAACGCACAAGAGTCAAGTGCTCACAAAAGATCAGTCTTTGTCAACATCAAGATTGTTGCAGACGCAATTGCTAATGCCTCAAAACCAAATTTCACAACAAATGTCATTAATGGAAGTTCACCCTCCACCCCAGCTAGAAAAAACTCAACAGTCTCATTCTCAACAATTCCAATCGTTACAACCACCGAGCGTCAATCTTAAAAGAAAACGCCCAACTCGAAAATCACCATTAATTCGACGTTTTTCTGTCATACCTCAGCAGCCCGAACTACCTAAAACTTACTCAGTAAAAGTTCTCAGTAACATCAACTTTTTAGGCAAATAATCCATGCTCACTAAATCAAACAAAAATTGACGAGTTGAAAGCCAGAATACAAGCAAACACCAAGCATAACCGCCCACATCTTATTTTTTTTGGCTGAGACGTGGTTTACTGAGGCTTCAGATACTGCTATTGCAGGGTATAACATCTTTTCACGAAACAGGCCTGGAAAAATAGGAGGTGGTGTAGCTATTTGCGTAAAAGCTGATCTCAAGTGCACGCTCACAAGCATTGAACAACTTAACAAAAACACCATTGAACAGATATGGATAAAGCTGAAACTCGAAAATAAATCACTTCTTTTAGGGTGTATCTACCGACCACCAAATAACGATGAACTTGTGCTCCTAGAAATTACCAAATCAATTCAGACTGCTACAAAGGCCCTCAAAACAATCGGTTGCGACTCCTTACTACTGTATGGTGATTTTAATTTCAGACACATTAGCTATGAAATCATTCAATCAATCAATTATATATTCTGGAAAAAAGATCTAATTTCCACGGTCGTTTACAAATAGTTATAAGAACTAATATAAAGTAAAAACCTCTTTGATTATATAAAAACATATTATAGACACATATAGTTATAATAATAATAAAAAAAGTAATAAATTAACAATAGCACAATAATAAAAATAATTAATTGCATAATATCAATAATAACAATAATAATAATAAAGTAATTATAATAATTTAAATAAATCGGTATCACTTTCCATACAGCAATCATTTTTAAATACAAAGTTACAAACAGTAATAAACTGACAAAACGTAACAACTAATGATGACATAAAAACGACTACTGCTAAAAAAATTATAAAGATTTATTATAATCATAGTTGTTAAAATATAATAATCAAAATATATTGCAAATATTATGACCAAATAAATAAATAAAATATAAAAGAAAAA